AGTAACTCGCCACATGGGGTGATATTTTGGGCTCCAGCATTATTTTTGGTGTATGTTGAATGATCGTTGGAGGGGCGCCTCCCGCGAATCTGGTATAAATAGATGAAATTCATGATAATCCGAAGTCCGAGTTGGCGGTATAAATAACTACTTGAATCGCGGCCGACAAGGTTCAAGGGGGTGGCGAATCGCCCAGGAACTGTCAATGGGTAAATGGAGGGACCTAATCGAGGGTTAAAAACAGATTGAATCTGTAGGGTGGAAAGTGGTACAGGGAGTTCTTGTCCCGATACTCAATAAGAGGGTATATATTGGTCGTGGAGAATTGGGCGAATCCGAAGGGTGGGAGGCGGAACACTGATTAACTTATAAGGGAGACATAGACTTCCCGTACGCTAGAGTGCGAGCCTGACCCTGGGACCGAAGGGTCCGCTTCAAGAGTGGAGAGTTTTGGGCGCTTTCGAGCTCATCTCAGTTCTGGATGATCTTGCAGCAGAGGAGAGACAAAGCTACGCGCCATGGATCAATCATCGATTTCGTGAACGCAGCAAAATTGGTTCCTAGGAGCTTTTGGAAGTCCGAATCCTTGCTGAGTTCGTTCGCTGCATATCCATGTTCGATCTGAGTTGCGGAGGGTGTGGTCACACGCTGACAAAGGTGGCTTCCTCGTTGCCCGCGACGCTCATGTATGCTGTCTGTGCCCGTTTTCCCCACTCATTATCTACTGACACCAACGCGCTCAAGATACATATTAGGCCGAGGTAAGACCTTTTCTCATATACCCCAATATTCTGCAGGTTCATGGATTGCTCCTAGCTGCTGCTCGTGTATCTACGATAGGCACATCACTAGCTGTAGCATTCTACCGGGACATTGAAATTGAAACGTCCCTTCGCAATACATTGCTAGTTCACGGCGCAGTACAAAATGACAGGAATTTATACGCAGCGATTAATCGTCATAAAGTTCGAGTACTCACACTCCTGCAACCTTGACGACGTTCCTGGACTTCTGCCAAGTACGAGTTTAGAATTCATTAGCGCCGCCTAGTGGATATTATTCGGAGTTGATGATGGAGTCTATACCGACTTGCCAGGCTCTTGGCTTTATGAGAAATATGAAGACGGCGTGGTTGCAACTGCAAGAGGGAAAGGTGCAAGAGGGAGAGGGCTTACTGTATGTCGAGGGCCAAAAAGGCGTGTATCCTTGTGTGTCATCTACATTTCTTGGTGTCTCTACTTGGGGTTATTTTTTGGTTTCGGGCGGGACTGCGTTGTGACAACAGATCACAGTACTGACTTACATATCGCAGCGAGTCAACCTACAGGCATTTTAATACATTCTAGATTCTTGCTTGACTATTAGAACCTCCCCAATTCGCTCGAGGAGTTACAATCGGGCTCCGTTTCCTTTCTCACCCTCTCAGTGTCTTCCGGCCGACTTCGAAGTCTCCATTCTCCAGGCCCATTATCCGAGGCGAGAAATGACAAATTCTCAAGGATCGAGTTTGTCAGTCAAACATCGGACCTCCCCATGTTTCTCCATCCTCTTTCCACTTGTAGGTTTATCGTTGGATCCTGACGACTTTATGCTTATTCGAAACTTGGCTCTAGCTCTTTGCAGGGCAACGTCATGAAAGTATCTCAACGCACGGCTGATAAGATTGGTGTATTAACCTAGTCCTCCGTCAGGCACACCTAGCACCGTCAACAACTTTTAGCCCAGTCCACGGTAATCCGCAAACCAGTCATGACATCTGTACGCCTATGTTTTACTTACCTCATTTTGGATGCTCATCCCCTCCGATCTCAGAATGATGCGTACAAATGAACCTATATATCCCGTCGCATCGCGCACAGCATTTCGCCGTTTTCCATTGAATTAGTCGATTCATCTCGGCCTCACTCAATCACCTCTTGTTTTGATGATGGAATCTGCTTAACCCGGGACACCCAATCACAAAAAGTTTAAAAAGTGTCTTCCTCCAGTCGGCGTAAGCTCTCCAACACCCTTGTGTGCTCTTCTCTCAGCATGCGGTCCTTGTTGGCATACACGGTTACAGCCCTCACCTTGGGAGCACCTGCCCTTGCAAAGCTTTATACCTCCGTCACCGACCTGCCTCAGACGAAGTATGACTACGTCATCGTTGGTGGTAAGTGACAATATTCTATCGAAGGCTTTGGAGTTCTTGATGCTTATTTTATAACTCCCATACTCACAGGTGGTACGGCGGGTTGTACCCTGGCTGCTCGACTTACAGAAGATGGCTCTACCAAGGTTCTTGTCATTGAGGCCGGCGTGGAGTAAGTCTACATCCGTACGGAATGAAGGTTGCAGGTTCTGACCTCAGGTGACAGCAACGCAGGTATCAGGAACACCATAGTCCCTTGGCTCGGAGTCCAAAACTTCAACACCCTCACCGACTGGAACTTCACTACGACTCCTCAGGTTGGAATGAAGAACAGGTCTGTCGGTCTCGCTCGTGGGTTCGTATTGGGTGGTAGTAGCAGCATCAGTAAGTCAGGTTCAATGCTAGCAGAAAGAAATGGTAATCTCACTCTCGATTTCTAGACCATATGACCTACAACAGAGGCGCTAACGATGTCTGGGACACCTTTGCAAAAATGTCTGGTGATGACGGCTGGAAGTGGCAAAACATGGAGCAATACTACCTGAGGGTGATTTTCTTGTACCATAAAAAAATGTTTACCCAGAAGCTAACAAAAATTTCAGAACTCACGTCTTGTCCCCCCTGCCGACAACCACAACACCACTGGCAAGGTCAATCCTGCGGCCCACGGAAACGGACCGGTCGCAGTCAGTCTCAATGGGTTCCAGCAGGAAGTCGAGCCCAAGATGGTAGCCATTGCGAAGGACCTCGGAGGACGCTTCAAGTATAATGAAGATGTTAATGCCGGAGACATGATTGGTATCAGTGCGTCTTCCCTCGTAAAAGCCGAATATGTATGGATGCTAAGGGACTCTTGTGTAAATTTCAGGCTATATGCAGAGTTCCATTGGCGGCGGAGAGAGGAGTAGTGCTGCAACGGCCTTCCTTGTTCCCGCTCTTGGTCGCGAGAATCTCGATGTCGTTATTCACACCAGGGCCACCAAGGTCTTCGGCTCGAACCCCAACAGCGGTAACCAACCAAAAATCGACTCTGTTGAGGTCGCTCAGAGCGCCAACGGTAGAGACTCTATCCCCAATTTCCTCCATCAGCGGTATTAATCTGCTGCCCCCAGGAACCCGTCACACCTTCCAAGCTAACAAGGAAGTCATCTTGAGTGCCGGTGTGTTTGGAACACCTCAACTTTTGCAGTTGTCCGGAATCGGACCCCAGGATGAACTTGAGAAGTTCAACATCCCTGTTTTGGTAAATTCTACGCATGTGGGGAAAAACCTGGCAGACCACCCTCTGCTCTCCGTTTATTACAACGTCAACTCGACCAACACATTCGATGACGCACTCCGAAACAAAACGCTTGAAGGAGAGTGGCTCGAGCAATGGGATACCAACAAAACTGGTTTGATGGTCAACCCCGTGGCGGGTAATTCGGTCGCTTTCATCAAGAACCCGCCGGAGCTGTTCAATGGTTTCGATCCCTCCACCGGACCTGGCAGTGGCAACCTTGAAATGATTTTCTATGTGTGTCACATTCCCCCTGCGAGCTAAACAAGCTGTTGACAATACCTTCCTAGAATGGGTACGGATCTCTCGGTCCTCTACCGCAGCCTGCTACTGGAAACTTCATGTCGGTTATCATCGGTGTCGTATCACCGACTTCCCGTAAGCATTCCGCAGAGTTTTACCGCTTTAACTCTTGTTGACCTACTGGTTGGTTAGGCGGAACCGTGACGCTCAATTCGACTAATGTTTTCGACAACCCCAACATTGACCCAGCGCTTTACACCACCGATTATGACATCAAATCTATAATCCAGGTCATGAAGGATGCTGATTATCTCCTCCACCATCCGATAATGAAGGACTACGTTATGGACCCTATGTTCAAGTTCGACAACGACACCACAATGGAAGACTATGCCAGGAGTAACTCCGTCACTATCAACCACTGTGTGGGTACCGCCCGTATGGGTCCGGGTGGTACTGAGGGCGGTGCCGTCGATGCAAACTTAAAAGTCAAGGGAGTTGAGGGTTTGAGAGTCGTGGACGCTTCTATCTTCGTAAGTCTTGCAAGATCTGTTTCCAACGGTTCTGTATCTGATAAGTGTGGTCTTTTCTAGCCCATCATCCCCGAACATCATACTCAAGCAACTGTTTACCTTGTTGCAGAACGTCTTGCTGATCTCATTAAGAAAGGCCGTTAGTAGATTGTTTCGTTTTGTTCCTTTGATTCGATTCTCGGTGCTAACTCTTGTACTTCACAGAGTAGAGGAACGATAAATTATAACTGCTATTATTATGGGTTTTCGATTGTTATTCTCTGTGTTATACTACATACATTTCGGATATTGTTATTAATATTGAAACAGTACATATATACTATATACAACTGTCAAACTCTTGTTCAGGTCGTCTCTCAAGGCCGAGCACTTGGATCTCGTATGCAGGCAAAATGGCAAAGCTAATAAGGAACGAGGTGGAATACGGATTGAATAAATGACCTGTTATTGCTTCTCAATGTTATCTTCTTCGTGTCTTCTGCTCCACGGCCTCCGGTTCAGAGGCACAAACCGACACCCTCGGAGGAGTCGAGCTCCCAATAGCACGAAAAAAAACTCCCACTCCTCATACGTGCTCAGTTCGCGATTCCTCCAAGATGTCTCTGTGGCCCAGATCTCGTACAAGAACTTGAACCAAAAAGCGGAGTCCGCCGGGGTTTTTGAATCCCTTGTCCTGCGTTATCTCATTGGGTGCATTTGCAAGGTACCAAGAAACTGGCAATCACAGTCCCCCAACGCATCATCTGCGCCAAGTTCACACACAGCTCTCAAAAAAAATTGCCTAGATTCTCGCAGAACTTCGAAAGAAAAAATCGGGGCTCACGGAGGATTGAACTCCGGACCTCTCCCATGGATTTATGCGCAACTATCGCGCGGGGGGGGAACCTATCCCGAAGGGAGCATCGTACCACTAGACCATGAGCCCTAACAGGGCAGAGTTCAAATTTAGACTGCTTGTGAGGAGACGGTGGGAAGAACGGCTAGACGCCTCGAGGCCTCTAGAATTTATTTTTTCTTCACTCAAGTCTGCGCTGCTAGGGTTTTTCTTGGAGCACAGAGCAAGTCATTCGGTCGGGAAGCAATAAACCAGGTTATATAACTCTATTATAATATTAGATTGGTTTTTCTTCTCTCTTGACATAGAAGAGAAGCCACATAATTTTATGAATGGTTACCGTTACCGCTTCGGATCGACGGTTTAAAACGGCAAGTCAAATAATAACGGGGGCCATAAATATAAATAACCGCCGAGCCGGGAAATCACCTTTGAATCTGAAGCGATGGTTAATCAATACCCTCTTGTACGTTTGTTGGAACGCAATCACTGCGGCCCTCGCTTGGCTTCGGCCGAGCGCTAGGAAAGCGTCTGGGGTCTGTACAAGAGCCTGAAGCGGAGGTCTAACGGCATATCCTACTATAGAGTCGGGAGGGAATAATCTTCTATAGTGTGCACTGTCAAACGCGTCTAGGGAGGACGAGGACGTAGCGGTACGAAAAAATGGAATTTGTAAATCTATCATCTAATAAAACTCCGACATAGAAACAATTGCATCATAACTCGAATCGGATTGGTTGTGATTGTGATTTTTTGTCCACAGCATTCAGAACTTGTAGAAAGGTGAAGGCGCTGTTGGGAATTTCTCGCTTAGTGCGAGACTCCACGCAAGAAAAAAAAGTTTCTTGGTTTGTTTCTTTCACGTCTTCTTGTTTCCTAGGCAGGACAGACTAGGATCCTCCGACTCTTTTGATCAGATCGATCGTGCCTCCGTATTCACAGACTCCCGCTCTTTGTTCGTGGCAGTCATCGTCATCTTCTCAAATCGGAACAGAGAAGGAACTTGGTAAGAAAGTGTTGTCAGGCTACACGAAGATGGGTAAAGTTCACCTTCATCCAGCCAACCTGGTGTTAACTACCTTCATCTATCATGATCAGCCGGGTGCCTTGTCAGTCCCAACTTCATCGAATTGTGCAAACACCGACTCCTTCACTGCTCAAGACCATTGTTGCCGACTGTTTCGATAAGAAGTGAACTTGAACTGAATGTTTTCGCTGCAGAATCTGCATAGAGAATAAAAAGGTGAGAATTTACCTGGCTTCGTCGTTGAAAATGACCAAGGTGTCGAGCGGGGAGCACGGGGATCCTGAAAGGACAAATTTGAATCACAGAAGATTTTGTTTTCAGGGGGACACCAACTCTTGGGTTCAAGGCCAAGGTTAACTTCGTGAAAGGGGTGGACACTGGAAGTCTGGACGCACCGCTTGTCCAATTCAAGGTGGTCCGCCGGAGCGGCGGGCCCACCGCAGTCAACGTCGAACGATGCTGTTAAAGGTCAATCTCGGGCCGTCGGCTTTTCAAACTTTTATATGCCGAAAGATCCTTTTTGAGTCCTTCACTGTGATTCCACTGGTGGAAGCAGGGCCCACCGTCTCCAGACTCCCATCTCTCCAAGCAAATTTCTCCCTAAACGTTGAGAACCTCAAGCATACAGGACCTGCTTGGAAACCATGCAAGAACCCACGGTGAAATGATGAATGAATTAGCCGTCTTTTTGATGTGCGCAGCAGCCCGCTCACACTACCAGGTAAATTTAAGAGCCTGCAAGTAAATGTCCAAATGTCCGTCGCTTTACCTCGTCCACCATGATTATACTCAAACAAGAAGGGGCTGATAAGGAGCGGGATGCTGCAAGTGAAAGGATGAGGCTGAGAAGGGGACAGTCGAGTAGATCTTATATGGAAGCACCACCACCCTCATATGAAGCGGTCGAACTTTCGCCCGACAGGTCATTCAGATTTGTTCGACCATCACCTTCACATTCTCCATCATTTTTTGAAGCACAAGTCCCTAACCTTCTATCCACCCCTAGGGTGCTCGCACAATCTAGATCACACTCCAACTTGCGGCCTTACCCAAATCATCCGAGCGTACACCCCAATCACATTTCACCGGCAAATGCGAGCACACCGACCCTCACTCTACGTTCTCTTGACAACCCCCTGACTTCCTCCGGGCCTTTGGCATCCACTTCTTCGAATTTACCGTCAATCCAAATCCCGACTTTTACACCTTCAGCCAAAAAGTCGTTGTTCTCCACCCAATCGGGGAATAAAAAGCGTACTGCCAAAGAAGCGAGACTCTTCGTTCTGTCTCAGGTTACACACCTCCTTCAAAATCAGACTAAACCACAATACACCGTCGATGCTCACAAAACTATATTGAAGAGTTGTGCGGACGCGTGTTCGACACATGAATTGGACTTGCCTGCTCTACTTCAAGAAAAGTCTGTTGAAGAACATACCCCTTTCTACTGGTCGATCGCTCAACGGCCTTCGTCGACGTCGCTGAAAATGCCCGATCTATTACAGGCTTTGTTGGTATTTGGTCACCCGTTGACCGAAGATACGAGGATGGATGTGAGGAGAGCATGTTTGATGGTCAACGATCCCAAGTTGTACCAGGCATTGAGGACGAACAAGTACTATGTGGTTCGTGTAATATATTTGCTCCGTTTCTCGTCCAATCTCATAACAAAGAATCTTTCTGTAGGGCTCAGAAACCGCGCAGGATGCTCTCAGCCCGGCACCGGTGTTCAAAGATAGGGTGATCATCGAAGACAAAGGAGGAGGAACAAGCGGAACTACTGGAAAGTTTACTGCTACGTTAGAGATACCAAGATATAACGAGCGGGCGACAATTCAGATCGAGTTTATCGCGCAACGTATGTGGCCCTTCCAGTTAAAACTTGATCCCCAAAAGATTGACTAACGTACATACAGGTCGACTTTGGCGTCTCACTATCCGCAAAACTTCAAACTCGATGAAATGGAAGATTGGGATAGGCTTGCTTGAACAAAGTCCTGCTACATATCTCGATTCCCGGTTCATCCTTCAATCCCTAGACGCTCCACCAGCATCCCGCACGAGGACTTATTCAGATGCTCCAGAGACCATGTTTGTTTCTACTGCTGCTACAGGTTCGAATTCAAGCTTTAGCTCTTCGGGGTCTGCCGTTTCGTCTCCATCGTATGGTTACGGTGTACCAAGCGGGTTCGTTGGAACTGCGTATTCCGCAAGTTATTCACCTGAAAGTTTGGAAATTGCGCACCATCAGCAACAACGACTATCGCGGCAAGAATCGACGTTTATGGTGTCCTCGCGAACGAATTTAAAGTTGGGTTCAAATACAAACGCGTCTTCGTCACAATCTGGTGTTGTGAAGGGGGCGAAGGGGGCGAGTCTCAGACATAAGCCAGAGATTTTTTTGTCTGCTCCAAATGATAGTGTCCGGCAGCCTTTGACAGGAATTATTAGAGACGGTGAAGACGATGAATTTTCGGTATCCGCGCGTGAGTTACCGCCATTGTCTGGAGATCCGGTGTTGAAGGAAGTGAGGCTGAAGTCTAATTTCATGATTTCGGCTGGGAAGAAGGAGATTGAGAGCGAGATTGATGTTGATATTGACTTGAACGAGGAGAGCGGGAAGTTTATGAGAGCGCGGTTTGAGGCGAGGTTGGCAAGACCGGAGAGTGAGTGTGTAATTTGTTGATGCATGTCAGATGTTGTTTTTGTTTTTTTTTGCGGACTGTGTTCAGGTTCACGGACGGACGTATCAGTCGTCCCATCGTATCATAGAGATGTACTACTAGAATGTACGGCAGACTTCACCGAAGCTAAGGAAAATACAGAGAATAACGACGTGAATGTCGTCAACTTCCGTGATCCTTACAACTCCCTGCCTATCTCTCAGAATTGACACAGCGCAGAGGGAAATTGTGTGGTATCTGAGTCGGACTGCCCCAATAGAGCGTATTCGTGATGTCGTTTTTGAGCGAGCTTCGGACTTTGCCGACCAAGTGGATCTGCTCGGTGGAAGCGTCTACTGTGGTGGTTCTGAGAGTCCAGTGATTTCGTTGACCACCCAGGCTCACTTGAAGAGCTCTGCACGCGTGGGTAAAATATGTGATCCCTCCGGCCCTTGTTATTAAAGTTACAATGATTCCAACTTGATGTATGGTGTGTATGGTGTGTGTCTTTAACAAATAGCATCCCGGAGCCGTCCTGGTAGGTGAAAAAAGCGCGAGTTCAAGAGAAAGAAGGAATAAGGAAAAGAACAAGAACTTGGACGCAGCTTGGCAAAAGTGAGATTCGAAATCGATTCACGGATGGGACGCTTCAGCCGATATTCCAGGAGATTGCATTGGATTGAGAGGTCGTTCTGCCGTTCTCTAAGCATGAACGCTTCTAAAATCCGAGTTCAATGCAGCGAATCATAATAATGATATATTCCAATGATGAATTTTTTTTTGAGCCTCTCGAGCGAAGGCTCGGGAGTCGGTACTAAAACAGGCTTCTGCGTACCGTCCCACGGTAGTGCTTCTCCATTTATTCTTTGACACGTTCCATTTCCATACTCGATCCGGTTCAAAAAAAGCTCCGTTGATCTCAATCCCCAAGGGAGAGAAAAACTGCCCCGCGTCCTACCGCGTCCCCAATTTTTCAACGGTTTTTGTATTCCGGCGGTTTGTCCGTACGGAGAACCTGTTTACCGCACTCCGTTGTCCGCAGGGGGCTAGAGTCCATTGGTCGGTGAGTTCAGGCCAAGGACTAGAAGAAGGCATCGGCCATTAGGATTTGGGTATTTAAGCAGGTATAGAGAAACCAAAGGAAGGATCATGGTAGGAAGTACTAAGTTGCAGTATTACAGAGTCAATCATGGGATCAAAACCACCGGTGTAAAAATGAGAGAGGGAACGAACGAATTGTGAACGCTGGACCACGGTGCTCTGGGGAAGAAACCTTGAATTCCATGAGAGCTTCAGTGAATCGATAGAACTTGTGGGTCCTAATATAAACGTTGTGTCAGCAAGGACGAAGTAAAAAAAGATAAGAAAACCCAGACAGAGTTTGAACAGGGAAATGAAAA